GCCAGAACTCTACATCTTCCCAATGGGAATAATCAATTAGTTAAGGTGTGCCATATTAGCCGAATGTATAATTTATGGCCCTCGCAAGCTTAGCTAAAATTTCCTTTTAAAATTGGAAATCGAGGTGTGCCGTGCCAAAAAAAATACTTGAATTGCATGGCCCTCATTGAATTATTTCTTTTAAACCCTTAGAAATTGAGGCGTGCCACTTAGCGAATTTTCCGTGGCCCTCGCAAAGTTGAAAACGCGTAGTTGCTTTAGGCGCGTTATTTTAATAATTTACCTTCCTAAACTCGGGTGCGCATTTATGTGACCCAAATCCAAATCTCAACAATGTCAGATAGAATATGTCGAGAGCCGCGAGTGCATTTATGTGTCGTGGTTCAAGACGTATTTTAAATGACGTTGCAATTTTTCCTTAAAATTTAATAAAAGCGGCTATAGAGTTAAAATTGCACCATAGGCTAAAACATGCATTAAAATCAAGTGAATAGGCCAAATATAACAGTTGAGCGACCGTGCTAGAACCACAGAACTCGGGAATGCCTAACACCTTCTCCTGGGTTAACAGAATTTCTTACCCGGATTTCTGTGTTCGCGGACTGTAAAACAGAGTCAATCTTTCCTCGATTCGGGATTTGAACCAATGACTTGGGACACCATAAATTATCCCAAGTGGCGACTCTGAATCTAATAAATAATCCCATATCGATTGTCCTTTAATTGGAAAAAACTCCCTTATACCCTTCCAGGGGTAGAAAAAAGGAGGTGTGACAGCTCTGGCGACTCTGCTGGGGAAAAGAACCCAGAACTCATGGTTCAGGGATCAGAATTCGAGCTTAGAATAACTGTTATAGTTTGCTTTATTTATTATCTGATTTTTACATATTGAGCCTAATGTGCTAATTGCCGCTTTTTACCGCTTTGATATTATTTGAATTGTATATAGACTGTTACCAAACCCTTCTCTTCTCATCTTCGGGGATGTGCACGCTGGCGTGACTCCCTATTCTGTTAGTGTCATACCTTGAAATAAGAAAGAGGCTCGGACAAATTACTAAGCCGGATGGCCTTTTGGTTCCCGGTACGTAGCCCCCTCATCGGCTCGAGTTGTCCGCTCGGGTACATAAGTCTAGAACAAATACCCAGGTTTTGAACCTAGAATAACTCAGCCTCATGCCGGATCCCTAGTAGGAATATTTGTTTGCATCATGTGCATTTGACTTTGGAGACTCAACACAGGGGTTGGGTCTGTCTAGGACAGGTGTACCCGAAATTAAAAGACCATCCTGATGCATCTTACTTGCTACTTGTGCATTCATTTGCTTCGAATTTGCATGTTGACCGGCTTATAGGGGAAAAGTTGAGAAGGAAAGTCAATGGGAGGACTGAGAGAGATAACTGTCTGTTTTTGAAAAACCAATGTCCAAAATATACTGAAACTCTGCCGAAATTTTGAAAAAAAAAAGAAAAAAAAGTTGGTTTTTGTTTTGTCAAAATTGCCCGAACTACGCCAATTTGATTCTCACCGGATGTGGGATACGTAGGAAACCCCCATCGGGTCCAACTTCCCTTTTTGAAAAAATAGCCCAAAAGGAAAAAAAATTTATTTTAAATAAGCGGTGATGCCATTCTTGTCTAAAATAGCCGAATGTCCCCAAAAGGACGCCGGAAGGCTGTTTTTGCAAGAACAGCCGCCTTTGGTTTCTTTCGCCTTTGGTTTCTTTTCAAATTTTTAGGCTGGTTGCCAAGCACAGCCTTAAAATCTCCC